AACTCCCAGAATTCCCCAGCCAGCATTCGCTGGCTGGGGAATTCTGGGAGTTGAACTCCGGACATCTTCAAGTTGCCAAGGTTGAGAAACACTGAGCTAGGTTTTCACACTCTGGACAAAGTCTAGGAGAAGGTCAACCCGTTTGAATGAACGTACGAATTTAATCGATGCACAAATGACACCAAATATGAAATCCCCGTCATTTGTCAGGGATATGACCCATGTGACATCATCTTGGCACCTCTCTGGATGTCTATAAGCACTGAATATTTTGGATTTTGTCTTCCGCTTTGATCTGCTGGGTTTGGAATCAGAACATTGACCAAAATACAGAGAATCTCCCAACTTACGACCACAGTTGATCCCAAGCAACGTTTCCATTGCTAGGTGGTTCAAGTGAGTTTTGCCCCATTTTACGACTCTGCCTTGCCGCTGTTGTTTCGCAAACAGGGAAGCCAGATTCACTTAAAGACCGTGTTCCCAATTGAACGGCTCTGGCGGTTCGCTTAGCGACGGTGGCAAGAAACGGCGTACAAGGGTGCGAAGCTCACTTCACAACTATTTCGCTTAGCGACAGAAGTTTTTGGGGTCAATTGTGGTAGTAAGTAGAGCCTTGCCTGTGTTTTGACTTCCTCGACGGGCCCTTGTAAGGAGCACGGGGTGAGTGTGTTTGCAAACGATCTCACTCCTGGTTTTAATTCTTTATTGCCCAGGATGGGTGCATGACAATAAATCTGACAAGGATGCAACCTGCTCTTTGCCCTGACTCCAGAGAAAGCTGCTGAGATGGGGGGTCGTGTCTACGCAGAGTCTCAGCCCCACGGGGCCCTTCTTGGGTTAGGACCTCAGGAAGATGCTCAAGACAGATGGGAAAAGAGGGTCAGGTTGCCATGGGATTTCTTGCGCAGGACACCTCACTGGTTGCGTAGCTTCTTCTCGTCCAGCTGCTTGGGTCTCTTCTCTTTGTCTCTTCCACCTGGGGTGGCGGCTCATGAATTGGCTTTGCTCTGACTTTCTCTCTCTCTCTCTCTTTCTTCTTTTCTCCTTCCTCCCTTTTCTCTTCTAGGGGTGGCGGTAAGCACTTACGCCAAGTATTGTTACAGCAAGCTCCAGAAGGCAGCGTTGACTGGCGCCAAGAAGGTATCTCCCCGTCCCCCTCTCTCTTTTCGTGTCATCTTTCAAGGTGGCCTTGGGAGACCAGAGTTGGTGGCTAAGTGGTCATGGGAACGTGTGGGGTTGGCTGGGCTGGAGTTGGAAGCCTCTCCCAAGACGTTGGAGGCCTCTCCCAAATCTTGACCTTGACCCATGTCAATGAGTGAGCCAAGACATCCAACTCAACATCCAACTCCCCCTTGTCCTTTTGCCCAAGAGGGGAGAGGCTAACTCAAGAGCTTCCTGTCCAGATGTTATTTTGCTCATCAACATTCCCCTTCCCCCCCGCCCAAGGATTAAAAGGACACCGAGCACTCCAGAATCAGGGGCCAAACTTCCCTGCAATGGTGGAATTTTGTGTGGTTTATTCAATATATATATATATATANGGGGGAGGGCTTATATTTTTGCCCACCTGAAAAATATGGCATGGCCTTAGTTTCAGGACATGTCGTATTTTCGGGGAAACACGGTAAGCATGACCAAGAACATGCCTTCTCCATCCCTAGGAGAAGGAGGAAGGTCCAACTTTCTCCACCGACGCAGTTACATTAGGCTGGGGCATGTGAGGTCCTCCAAGAAGGATGAAGGATGCCTTGAGAAGTTGAACTCCTAGAGTGGTCATAGAACATAGAATAATAGGGGTGGAAGGGACGTTGGAGGTCTTCTAGTCCAACTCTCTGGCTGGAGACCCTATGTCATTCCGGACAAATGGCTGTCCAGTCTCTTCTTTAAAAACTGTGATGAAGCACCCACAACTTCTGAAAGCAAGCCATTCCACTGATTCATTGTTCTTACTGTTAGGATTTTTTCCCTTAGTTCTAGGTCTCCACATTCCCTGCTCCTCAGAATAGGAAGATCACAAATTAGTTTTTATCTCCTGCAATATGTGGGCATGTTTATCAGCTACCTGGATTTTGGATGCATTTTACAAATTAACCCATTTTGGGGTACATGGGTTCAAAAAAGGTCTAGGATACTGATGGCGAGGGCACCGAGTGCTGAAAAGGCCACTGCCCAGGTGACATGCGCATGCCAGAAGATGAACTTCCGGGTTCCAGCCCGCGCATGTGCCCTTGCCAGTTAGCCTTCCGGTTACTGGCGCACATGCGTGTGTGACTATCAGCTCGCCTGCGTGCATGCTCACGCTGGAAAACAGAAGACCAGCTCTTCCAGTGTCCCAACACTGCCACACGCACGACCGGCAGCTGATCAGCGTGCATGTGTAAGTGCCAGAAACCCAGAAGAGGAACAGGTGACGCCACATGTGCCAGGCGACATGGCATACGTGCCATAGCTTCGCCATCACGGGTCTAGGATGACGAGCCATGGCCTTGTCACTGGACAATTCAATGTGGGATTATTATTCATCAAAGCATTATAAAAGCTGCTAATCCTGGGACTGATATCCTTTGATGTAAGAGGTAACACAATTTTGACGAAAACATGGTCAACCAAAAAAAGAGGAACTAAGTTGGCCACAGCCAGTTGTCCTGCAGCGCTGACTTGACCACGACAAATTGTCGCATTTCCAGTTTAGAAACATTTGCCCTATGATGCGTTGTTTCGTCCAATTTTCATAGTTCACAGACAAGAGAGTGGCCAGGAATTACACAGCAGGTGTCCAAATGAAGTCAGAGACGTTGATGCGAACGTGTAGTTTTATATAAATAAATACATTTTACAACTATATAAACGGCAAACCAGATAGTCAGGCAAACCGGAAGCATCCTGAGGTAAATCACAGAGCCCAGAGGGCAGATAGAAGAAAAAGGCGGGAAAAATTGGGAACGCCCCCTCCACACCCATAGCAACCAATCACAGCGCAGATTGCCTCATGCAGGAGCCAGCACACTCTAACCAATCAACCACAATTGTGTGTTCTGCCTCACTGCACAACCCCCACAGCTCCAGCTATTACATTTTAATATATTAACAGAGAGTTTTAATAGTATACTAGATAATCTCCCACACATTGACTCATTTTTTTAGAGATATTTCCTTACCCAATTCTGCGATGCCTGGATTGAGGAGTGGCAGAGCTTCTTAAATGTCCTGGATACGTTCTGTACGTGAGCCCATTTGAGGCACCTTGGTTCAAAAATTATTACCCTAACGGTCCGCGGTTTTGACCAATTAAAGGTTATAATAAGACTTTTACTATGGGTAGTCTTTGACTTACAACAGTTTGTTTAGTGGCCGAGGTTATAACGGCATTTTAAAAAGTGATGTATGACCACTTTTCACACTTACCGTCGTTGCACACGCCCCCTGGTGACGTGATTTGCATTTGGATGCTTGACAGCCGGTTCCTATTTATGACGGTGGAAGTGTTCTGGGGTTATGCGATCCCCTTTTGCGACCTTCTGACAAGCAAAGTCAGTGGAGAAGCCAGATTCAATTAACCCTGTTACTAATTTCTCGCTTAACAACAGAATTTTTGGGCTCCATTGTGGTCGTAGGTTGAGGACCACCTGGAGTATATAGATTTGTCTCCGCTCTGGGTTGTGACCCACAGAGTAACACCTTTTCCCTTCCCCTCACAGGTGTTCGTGCAGCCGGGTAATGTGGCCATCACCAAGATGGACGTCAACAACCTTGCCATGGTGATGGCCCCTAACTGTCTGCGCTGCCAGTCAGACGACCCACGGATTATTTTTGAAAACACCCGCAAGGAAATGTCCTTCATCCGGGTGCTCATCCAGCACCTGGACACAGGCTTCATGGAGGGAGTGCTATAGCCCTTGTGCCAACAGGACCGGACCGCAGTTGGACAGCCATCACCTGGATCTCCTCCCGAATCCCAAAGTCAGTCAGTGAGAACCATTTTTTTCGATGCGGCAGGAGATGCCAACCTTGCGAAGCACCCGAAGAGAAAAGCTGTGGGCCCACTGACCTTGCCGTCTTGGCTATGCCAACTTGGGCATCTGAAGTTGCTCAGGAACCCCTTGGGGCCTGTGCGGACGGACAAAATGAGGCTGCCTCTTAGTGGTCCCCTGGTGGACAACCTCCCAAGCTGGACTTCATCGGGAGCATCTACATAAATGGACAACCCGACACCATTCGGGAGAATTGTGAACCAAGGTAGAAAGGCCAGGAGGCCTCTCTACACTCCCCCCCCCCCCCAAAATCAAGTCTGTCCTGTGGAAATGGGACGGGGGGGGCGCAGTACCTGGTTCGGGCAGATGAAGGAACGTTTGAATGGGTCGATGTGGGGGGCGAATGTTCAAGATGGTAGCTGAATCCTTTTCAGAGGAGTCAGAGGAGTGGGAGGGGCACAAAAGGCGATAGGATGCAGATCACAAAGACCGGCGTTGCGGGGAAAGCGAACTGGCCTCCCAGGAGGCCAGTTTGTCCGACTGCTCCTGTGGAAGGGGAGGGGGGTGCCATCCGATTGACCACTGAGAACTCTGTGTGGGGGAGTGGCACCTCTGGAAGCTGTTGGATTAGCTGTTGGCGAGGCTCAAACACCGGCAAGTTTTTAAGATTTGGGGAAGATTCCTTTTTTCCCCCCGTCCTTGTTGCAGCACAGTCACTGCCAAAGGGGGCCAAGCCATGCAGTCCCCCCCTCCCCATCTCAACATCTCAGCGCCCCACAAAAGGCCTGGTTATGCCGCCCTTGAAACGGGACGGGGATAACGAGAAGGAACTCCGTTCTCGTCACTCGTTTTTTCTTGTCGGGCAGAGTTTTATACACTGTGATACAGAACGGGAGCGCTTTCTCGACCTCTCCTTAAGTGAAGGGGTGTGTGCGTGTGCGCGCGGAAAGGTTACCAGGCCCTCCTTGACCCTCGTAGCTCCCCAGCTGAGTGGTGGCGACGACAGGAAGTGGGGATGCCCCCATTCTGGAGTTGTCCCTTCTCACCCAAGCTCATCTCAACGTCCCTTCCTTCCAACACTCAGCGCTTTGGTGTCCTGCTCGGGTTCCAGGAAGACCCCACCCACAACCCATTCCTTACGGCACCTTAAGTGATAGACTTTGGCTGGATCTGGGGCATCCTTTACCAGGTTTCCAGATTTATTTATTTTTCTTTCTCCCCAAAGGAAGGAGTCAAGTTCTCTTCCGTAGGCCAGAAATGGGAGAAAGCCAGCAGTCGTAGTGAAAAGAAACGTTCCCATAAAGTGTCCTCTGTCATGAGTGCTCGCACCCAGGGGCATCCTTATGGGGCAAAAATTAGACGTAGGAGTTATGGGGTGGAAAGCAACAGCTATGAAATGCTTTATCCAGACAGTGTTTGAGCATGTTTAATGTGCTCTACGAACACGGGAGACGGTTGCGGCTCCTCTCCCCCAACCTGCTTCAAACGGAGTGACCCTCCGTTTCAAGTTTATTTCTCAACTTCCACTGCTGAAATCTGATTCCCCCCCCCCCTCAAGAAGCAAAGCCAAATTCTCAAGTTTCCCGAGATAAAAGAAAATCAGAAAGAGCAACGATTTGACCTTTGCTTCTCCATCCATCCCATCACAATGTAGGGAAGATGTCTCTGGATCTCTAGGGACCATCGCTTCTATCTCCTCCTGGGTCCAGGAACGGAGAGAATCTTATCTTGGGTTGGTGCACATATGGGTGGAGAACAAGACAAGAGATAGGGCTCATCGAAGAGAAACTAGGTGGTCCTTGGGTAGGACAACTGGTGGAGAACATCTTGGACTCTTAACCGTGATTCTGGCCTACACAGCAGGGCTTCGGTCCCACCACCTGTCCCTTGCCCTCCTGCCTTCCTGCTTCCTACAGCGCACCAGACCCACATCAGCCCAAAGGCCCTCTCTCTCCACTCGACCAAAGGCCAGGATGGTAGCCTTGAAGGTCTGTAGAGTTGTTGTAGTAGGGGCCTCCTACTATAGCAAGTCCACTTTCTGGATATTGCTGGGCGTGGTGGGGCTACCTCAACTCTCGCCATGCTACACGCGACTCATGCGCTGTGGTTTCTAGCATCTCCCAGCGCTTTTAGAGAAGGGTGCAAGAATGCTCCTAGGGGGGTTGCTGGCTGCTCCTGGCCAACTGGAGGAGAGGGTCCCATTCACCCCTTGGGTGCTAAGCAGTTCTTGGAGGAGCTTGTGGTTTCCAGAGAAAGTGCCTTTTATTCCAACAAACCAGAGCCCTCCCACCTGCAACTTCCTTCCTAAAAAGGAACATCCCATCCAACTCTCCAAATCTCCAGGGATTACTCCAGGTGCAGAGCATTGACGCCTAAATCACGTCCTGGTGCAGGATAAAGCATGGAGGAGCTACCTAGCTGGGCAACTCACCTGCCACCTCGTTCATCATTGGGGTTAGTTCTCAGCTCCCTTAATCACCCAGCAACCGCGGGAGACGGAGAACCGCACATCTTGCCGAAGTCGGCTCACGGAAGTGTCGAGTTCCCACTTGGGAGCCAGTCCAGAACAAAGTCGAGCCGATTGGCCGGAAAACAAGATTTGGCGCGGGCAGCCTTTGCGATCAATGTTGGGGGTCTCCTCCACCCCAATAAACGGGAGTCCAGACGGATCTCCATATGGGAAAACCAGGGGCCGCCAGTCTTCCAGCCCGGATCACAAGTCAAAACGAGTCCAGCCAACTCCTTCCATTCCGGAAGCCTTTTCCCGGCCTAGCGGCTCAGGTTCGCCGCCGATCTTTTCGGCTGGCGGAATCCCTGCTTTGTTTGCACTTGGGGGGGGGGGGTCGGTTAGAAACAGCGATAGCGCGGAAAGAGAGAGAGAGAAGGACCAAAAAAGACTCCCGAGCCCAGTCTTCAAAGCCCTTGGCCCCTCTTGTTCCGATGGTCATCTTATTTCTCACAATCGGCTTAGAAAGTCTCTGGCCAAGATGCCTTTTATTTTTTTGTAAATAGGAAGGAAACCTGCCTCTTTTTACAGCTGTTTGGGAATCTGAGTGGGGTATTTTTGGAGGGTGGTTCAGTCGGTCAAGGAAGAATGATGGTGGACAAACTGCCCTTCGCGTCAGGGCCTGGCTATGAATTTTGGGAAAATTGCAGGGTAGACACAGATGTGATGCAGATGAATGGAGAACAGCCTCGTCTTAACAGCAGGCACACCATTTCTGTCCTTCTTGAGAGAATTTATTATATAGAACAGTGTTTCTCAGCCTTGGCCGCTTTTTAAGATGAGTGGACTTCAACTCCCAGAATTCCCCAGTCCGGGGAATTCTGGGAGTTGAAGTTCCATCGATCTTAAAGCAGCTAAGGCTGGGAAACACTGATAATAGAGATTCCCCCCCCCCCCCAATCTCGTATCCACCTCCGGCAGCATTAGGATTGCAATTCCCAGCATCGTGGCTGTGGAAGATGGGAATTGCAGTCCCAACCCAGCTGAATTGGGGGTGGAGGGAAGATAGGTGCGTTCAGTCACAGGAACGCAGTTACAAAGCTTATCGCGGAAAACCGATCTGTCGGCTAAACCACAGAACGGAGTTCCGAGTTGTAAATATCATTCATGCCAACTTATTTTATTTTTTTCTTCGTGCGTGAGAAGAATGCTCTTTTTTTTGTTATTTATTCAGTTGTTGCTTTCCAGCGTTTTGCCTCCCCTTCCCCACCCCCCCACCCCTTCAGAAATATATTTATTCCTGCTCTTGGGAATGAAGCTTTCCGATGACAATTAAAGGGTTACACGCAGAATCTTGTCTCCTAAGAGGTCTGGCCTTCTTTCCGAGAAATAACGCATTGGTGGGCTACCAGGGTTTGTTGAGATTTTGATGTTTAGATGGTTGAATGGTAGAGAAAGGAAGAACACACAAACACACACAGACACACAAGGACACCATTTTCAGCTCATTAACAAAATAAGAGTTGGAAGGGACCTTGGAGGTCGTCTAGTCCAACCCCCCTGTTCAAGCCGTGGGCCTAACATCAGCATGGTTGGCTGGGGAATTCTGGGAGTTGACACCTACAAGTCTTGCCAGCCATGTCCTATACTAGTAATGGCAACGCATGTGCATGTGTGAGCATGTGCGCATGCTGGAGTAACAGAAGCCCGAAGACCCAGCTGCCCGACATGAGTATGCCGGTTTTTCGGCCGTTTTTCAGGCTATTTTTGTCCCCGAAAACAGCCTGAAAAATGGCCTGCATTTTGCCCATTTTGGGGGCCATTATCAGGCTGTTTTTCTGGCTGTTTTTGGTTATTTTTCTGGCCATTTTCCAGCACTCCAGTGCCCGCAAACACCAGCTGGCCAGCACATCAGGAACAAGCAGAACATCTGGCGAAGGTGCGTGTGCCCACAGAGAGGGGCTCTGCGTGCCAGCTCTGGCACGCATGCTATAGGTTTGCCATCACGGCCCTATGTTATTTCAGACAGGTGACTGTTCAGCCTCTTCTTCAAACCTCCAGTGATGGAGCACCCACAACTTCTGGTGGCAAGCGGTTCCATTGGCTAGTTCTCACTGTCAGGAAATTTCTCCTTAGTTCTAGGTTGCCTCCCTCCTTGGTTAGTGTCCATCCATTGCTTCTTATTCTGCTTTCTGGTGCTTTGGAGAACAGGTTGACCCCCTCTTCTTTGTAGCAGCCCCTCAAATATTAGAACACTGCTGTCGTTCCCCCCCCCCGCCCCTAGTCTAGACACATCCCGTATCTAAGCTCTAATACAGTGTTTCTCGATCTTAGCGACTTTTAAGTCCTATGGACTTTAACTCCCAGAATTCCCCAGTCACCTATGCTGGATGGTGGGGAACGGAAGGATTTACACTCCTTGCAGACAGCTGGTCATTTGCATTATTTGAGTGAAATCATTGAGGCTGCTTGCAGGTTTATCTGTGTCGTTTGTGTTGGTTTGAACGAGGGGTCAAAGAGGCCGTCTATGTCAAAATTGAACGGAGGGGGAGGGGTAGGAC